TAATTATTCTCTACCGATCGTGAGTACTTCGCCTGTCGTAATTCTCTCTCGAGCAACTACCACAATTACTAGACATATTCTCTCGAACTACGCTAGCTGGCAATAGTTCACCGTTCACTAAGATCACACCAAGGTTTCATTATCTCTAAACCCGCCTTTAAACCCCCCGTATTGATCTCTCACATAAGTTAGGAGTGATGTTGTTCAACAACTACCTTAATGTGAACCCTCTCTCAAGCAATACACACTAAATAGGCATAGTCAATTGATGGCCATTCAATCAACAGCAACAAACACATAGTTGACCAAGTAGAAAAATACGATGGCTCAATTATATAAAGACATAACAAGAGTTTATCCTACAAAAGGTTCTATTAAAGCCCTATAACAAATTAGATATTCATAATAGTGTGCAAAACTACAATACTAGAATTCATAACCAATAATATAGAGGAAGAAAGAGGAAAAAACGTGAAGTTGAATCCTTCTCCTTACTCCAATTGTGTTCTTGGCCTCCCCAAAGTATTCTCTCCCTCTAAAGTAGTGTCTCATCCTCAAAAGCACGTTTTAGGATGTACTTATAGAGACTAGGGCTTATATGGCGCGAATTTTCCTTCTTATTTTTCGAATTAGAAAAGCTGGTTTTTTATGCTCCGGTCCCGATCTGGCGAAGAACCTCGCTTCGCCTTTCAGGACTTTTTTTGATTTCTTCTGCTCCGGTCCCAGTCTGGCGAAGTGAGCCTCGCTTTGCAGTCCGAGACTTTCTCTTCAGTTCTTTTCTCACCAATTTTTCTCCTATTTGATCCTTTTCCGCATAAGTTTGTTCCTACACATAAGAAATACGTATATTGGCATATTTTTACTTTAAAAGCGGTGTGAAATTCCGGAACTCACACAAGAATTAACATATAAACACACTCAAAACATGTACTTTTCATCCTTTATCAACGTGAAAATGCTTTCATGCAGGAATGTAAGATATAGTTGTATACAATAAACTTTTATAGTCTGACCCTTCTTCGAACCTCGCACGTAACAGGAGACTAGTGCATCCGAATTTTTTGTTAATGGAGTAATGAACAAACCGAGCTATTTATTAATTTAACCATTTTGTATTCACAAACTTGCCCTTATCTATTCAACCATTTTATATGCAAGCTGTACGTCGACAACTCTTTGTTCCTTTTTACCTACACATGGCATCCATTGAACCTCCTTTTCAGGACACAATTTTGTCTCTTCCATTCTCATTCCTCTATAAAAAGGCAATGCAATTCCATTTTCATTCTCATTCCACTAGTAACACTTAAACAGCTTACAAATATATACTCTAGAAATGACTTCTTTGTCTTCCTTTAATATTAAACTTAGTTTGGTTGTAGTAATACTTATAAGTTGTTTGGTTGTTGAATATTCAGCTAGTGATCTTAATCAAGATTTTGGTATTACGTGGGGAAATGGTAGGGGAAAAATACTAAATGACGGGGAGCTTCTTACTCTTACACTTGATAATACTTCTGGCTCTGGTTTTGAATCAAAGAAAGAATATTTGTTTGGTAAAATTGATATGCAGATCAAATTGGTCCCTGGGAATTCTGCTGGCACTGTCACTGCTTACTATGTAATTAATCTTTTTTTTATCATTAGATTATTATTAAGGGAGCCTTGACGTAACTGATAAAGTTGCTGCCATGTAATCAGAAGATTACGGTCCGATTTTTTTTCGGATCTCATACATAGCGAGAGCTTAGTGCACCGGTTGCTTATTTTTTTTTTGGAATTAGATTATTATTATAAATTATTTTTTTCAAAAAAATTGGTTATTGATATTATTTGTTATTTTTTCGATTTGTTTTTTTTTTTTTTAATTTAGTTGTCATCACAAGGATCAAACCATGATGAGATAGACTTTGAGTTTCTTGGAAACTTAAGTGGAGAGCCATACACTGTGCATACAAATGTGTACACACAAGGCAAAGGTGAAAGAGAGCAGCAATTTCACTTGTGGTTTGATCCTACTGCTGATTTTCACACTTACTCTGTCCTTTGGAATCCACAAACGATAGTGTAAGTAGTCTAACAATTTTTTTTAAGAAGTTGCGTATTTCTTTTACTTCTAAAAATGTGTTTGTGTACCACGAAAATAGCATCTAGGCCAAGTGTTTTTCCCCCTATAGATATCAGGGGCGGAGCTAGAGAGCTGAGTGCGAGTTCGGCCGAACCCAGTAATTTTGGTTCGAACCATGTGTTTGTTTTAAAAATTTATTAAATATAAATTATTATTTTAGAACCCAATAACTTAAAACAATTAAAATTTCAAACCCTCAAGCTTGAAATCTTGGCTCCGCCTCTGATAGATATGTATTGTTTAATTCATGTATATTGATATTTCAAATATTAAATTCAGAACTCATTTATTAACACCTTATCACACTTAATAAGAATCCTACAAGTGGGTTCTGTGAGGACGTACGGAGATCTTGTCCCTATCTTTGTGAAATGAAAATAAAGAGACTCTTGAAATATGAGAAAGAAGCAATAGCAGCAAGCAGTATCAACAATACGATATTAGTTAAATCGAAGCGAATCGATAAGAGTAAGAATCAGAACAATATGTAGTAATAACTAAGCCCAAAGGAATGCAAGAGCAATACGAATACTATCGGTATGGAAAAGAAAAACGTTCAGTAACCTACTAACTTTTTAGCCTAGTTCTGGACTTTCACATTGTTCTATCAGGGTCATGTCCTCGGTTAGCTGAAGTTGTATCGCTACCATATAATTTAGAACATATACAGTTCAAATCATGGCTCCGCGCTCCGACTAATATTATGGTAACGAGCCTTATTTTTCATATTATTGTTCTCGTCTTTCAAGAACAATTAATAGTTGTAGTTATCTTTTTGATGATATTATAATGCAAAAATTGTTCTTACATACTATAAGTATATTGAATTTAAACTGCACATATTGACATTCTTTTTTTTGTCTCTAAATTCAACACTATTTCAGATTTTCAGTGGACAATGTACCAATAAGGGAATTCAAGAATTTGGAAGATAAAGGTGTGGCATTTCCAAAATCCCAACCAATGAAGTTATACTCAAGTTTATGGGATGCTGATCAATGGGCCACAAGGGGTGGTTTAATCAAGACTGATTGGAGCAATGCCCCTTTCTCTGCCTCTTACAGAAATTTCAATGCCCATACTTGCACTTCTAATTCTAATAATTCTAATTCTTCTTGCACTATTTTAGCAGAAAAATTGGATCCTGTGAGTCAAGAAAAATTAAGATGGGTTCAGCAAAAGTTCATGATATATAATTATTGTACTGATACTAAGAGATTTCCTCAGGGTTTTCCTCTAGAGTGTAGTACCACTTAATAATATGTAGTAACTTATGAAAAAAAATTAGAAATAAAATATGTAGCATATTTAGTCTATATTAATAGCCTCCTCTCTTTATGTGGCTTTTTTTTCTCTCCTTAATTTATGTTGTGGCTTAGCTTAGTAGCTAAGTGGTAAGGGAGGAGTTTTGCAATTCTATGTTGGCTGTAATTGGAAGTATTGTGTAAATTATATATAGTATTGTGTTAGTAATGCTGTGAAATGTTCTCCACATAGACTTATTTATTTTCTTTTTGTTTTTGATAAATCATTCGACTTTGTACAATGTTTATACTCTTTATTAATATTTGGATTAATATTAGGTAAGCATGTTGTTTAAAATTTTACTATGAATTAGAAATATAACAATGTTGTAAGAAGAAAAAATATTGAATACATATATTGGTATTAGTTCGTATTCTTTTTTGTAAGAAATATACTCCCGATCTGTTCTAGTTTATGTGAACCTTTTTGGTTTTTGAGATTTTTTACTAACATTTTAAAATGTATTATTGTAATAAAATTTTATGATTTCTTAAGAATTTTTCCCACAGTGGAATGCGTCGACTTATTTTTACCATGTTATATGTTTTAACTATTTAAAGTTTTCTTACACATGATACAAATTAGCAAGTCGTTTCATGTTATTCCCTCTCTGCTAAACAGATTTACACTATTTCCTTATTGTCTCTTTGATTGATATCTTTCAATATTGTTTTTAATAAAAAGTATTTATAGCCGCACAAATATTATAACAAGTTTTAGATCATAAGTTTCAAAAGTCTTACAGTCACATAAATGTTATGGCTTATTTAAAATCACATATCTCAAAAGTCTTCCTTTTTTTATTAAAGTTTGTGTCAAGTTAAATTAAGACAATCTTTTTGAAACAAAGGGAGTAATAAGGTCCGTAAGTTCTTTACAGGTAAAGCCAATGGCGGATTTATAGGCAAGTATATGCGGCACGTACCCGTGATCTCTCCGCTAAACTAGGTATTTTTGATAACATTGTAAATTGAATGAAAGATGATGAAATTTAGTTAGGGTTACGGCTGAGGTGAGAGAACGGAGAGAGAGAAAAATCAGAGTTCTATTATTTCCTTCAACAAAAAACTGAGCTCAGAATATACAAAGGGAAAAATAGCAAACTCCTATCAAACCTAACCGGATCAATATAAATACAGCTTTAGTGTGCTGACTTTGGCCCAACTTTAACTATGGTCCTATTGCCCAAATATCTAATGTCATGTAACTCCATCACCCCCCCCCCCCC